GTTGCAGATTAATTCCTCCCAAGATAAAACGGATTAACCATTAAAGAAGTAGCGGTACCTCAAACTTCGATAATTTCAACGAACTCAAAATGACAGCAAAGAATCACACAAACAGACACGATTGATCGATTTTGTTTAGTAAGAAATGTATGCAAAAGAAGGAAAGAATTCGATACCGAAAAATGAGAGAAAACCTCTCTATTTATAGCCAACAAAGGGTAAAGGTCACAACCCTTTGGAAAGAAGACAACCTTTCAGAAAGGTCACAACACTTTGGAAAAAGCATAACTTTTCAAACGGTCACAATCCTTTAGAAAGGACACAACCTTTCATAAAGTTTACAACCCTTCGGCATAGTCACAACTCTTCAGGAGAGTCACAACCCTTCATTTCCTGTTCACACCTTTAAAACCCAACAACACATGCTTGGGATATAGGCTCGGATTCCGTCTAGTCTAACAAACATAGTTCAATAAATATTTGACGAAACAAAAAATATTTATTTTTTAACAAACTTAAAGGACCAAACTTACCAACGCATATACTTGAGGTACTATTTTCAACATAACATCAAATATAAGAGACCATTACCCTTACATCTCAAAGGAAGAAAGAAGTAAAAATCCCCATTCCCCCACACCCCTCTCTGTGTGCGAATTTGGCGACAATGGATCGAACTCAGCTTCTTCTAGTGGGTTTACCCCTTTTTCTGTTCATCTCCGATCTCTTCCAACTATTTACTCCTCCACCGCAAAAACCCAATTCCGATGACCACCATCATCACCACCACCAGCCGCCGCCAGTGATCCAACAACCTCAGACTCTTGAATTTCCTACTCAGGTAGTGAGCATCACTCAATGTTTGTTTCTTAGATTCTTTATGTCTTTTCTATAAAAGGGTATCTTTTTTTATATGTTTCTTGGTGTTTGACTTGCAGAAAACTGGTGGTATTGGTGCAGTTGGTATTGGTAACACTGTCACCATTGATTTCTGCTCTTCTTGTTCTTACAGGTTTTGTTTCTATTGTTGTTTCATCATATGTGGTTTTCTTAATTAATGGAAATTTTTAGAATAAGTATATTGTTTTACCTTCTTTTCTATGTTACTACTACCTCCTTCTCAATTTATGTGATGCAGTTTGACTTAGCACAAAGTATAAGGAAAAAAGTGGATTTTTGAAACTTGTGGGCTGAAATAATCGTAGATGTTCGTATGACTATAAATATCTAACTAGGTTTCAAACGAGCATTTTAAAGTTTAAACTTTTACTAAATATAAAAATATGTCATTCTTTTTGGGACGGTTTAAAAAAGAAAGGGTGTGATATAAATTGTGACAGGGGGAGTATGTCATTCTTTCTAAAGTTTGGATTTTTAACTAGCTATTGAACTTGTATTGTAGCTTATGTCATGAGATATTGTATAGATCATTTATATCAACAAGAAAATATATGATACTGCCAAGAATTTTTTGAGTTATTGAGGAACATAATTTCTGGGCTCTCTAACATGATTTGAACTCATCTGATTGAGTGCTTAACGTCATTTTAAGTAGTGTAATAGTCTTAAATGCACAATGGAAAAGAGGTCCCAAAACTAAAGGAGAACGTTAGAAACCCTTACTGTATAGGTCTTTTAGAATGCCCCATAACCTTCTCGTTTGATTTGTAGAGAGGATGTTGTACAACTTCCTTTTGTGGTGACTTGTTGAATCCCTGTTAAGATGCAAAATCTTTTCCCATATATGCCAATATACAGGATCCATAGAAGTGCATGTTTTAGTATGTTTGGTGCGTAAAGGTTTTAATCATGGATGTGGTTCCTTTGTATGGATAAGAAAAGATATGGAATAGTAATTTTTGTTTATCTTTCCATTACTTTGTTCAATTGGTCACCTAGTCTGTACAACTGTTTGCCCCTGCAATCATAACTTATCAAACTGCATCTAAGTTTCATGTTTCTTGGCAGAGGGACAGCTGTGACGATGAAAAACATGTTGGATAATCAGTTTCCTGGTATCCATGTCGTCCTTGCTAACTATCCTCCTCCACTTCCAAAACGTTTGTTGGGCAAAGTAGTACCCGTTTTCCAATTTGGAGTCATTGGCCTTGTAATGGCTGGTGAACAAATATTTCCTAGGTTGGGTATTGCGGTACCACCTCCATGGTTCTATCAGTTGCGTGCGAACAGATTTGGGACTATGGCAACAACTTGGCTCCTAGGAAATTTCTTTCAGTCCATGTTGCAAAGTTCTGGTGCTTTCGAAGTGTATTGTAATGGTGAACTGGTATGTACTTCTCAATCTGTCTATGCGTATCCTTTTTTTTTACCTTTTTCCTTGAGGTTAAAAACGTTGGGAAATGATTACCATTCTGTGCCTTTTTTGTGTCTAAAACCATCTGATTTATGAGAAGAAAATTCTGGAAATCATCTTTACTTTAGTATAGACTAGATAGATGTCCATCTAAAGAGGCTGTTTGATCAATTAGCTATCTGTGATGCACTATCAGCCATCCATTATTAGATAGGTTATGTTAATTTTTACTTTGTTAACTTCTTTGAAGGGGAACGTTACTTTGATTCATCTGATATGCAACCATGAATGTAAAAAAACGACTTTTAACTCTCTGAACACTTCTCTTTCTCTTTCTCTTTCTCTTTCTCTTTCTCCTGCTCAGAGGGAAAAGTTGCCTAAGACAAATTGTGGTTCATTTTCGGACTGAGGATGTCGTTGGCATGTTATACTTGTACTCCCTCTTCATATGTATAAAATGTTTCTTTTAAATTTGGTGAAAATCATCTTTGAGCAATGCCTTTATATGAAGGATTTCAAGTGTAGCTTACTTTTGAAGTCCATGATTCACAGAGATCTTTGTTGCCCCTGTAGCATGTGATATGAAGTTTTTATTGACTGCCTAGATATGTCAACTTATAAGACTTGAGAATGTGAGTTAATATCGGGTCCATTTAGATGTCTCATCTGTGTATCCAGTTAACAGAACAAAACCTAAGTCTGTTAGTAGGGTGTCATGCAATTAGAAAAAACTACAAAAATTCAGTGTGTTGCTTGTGTTCCTTCTCATCAACACCTTATGTGTACTAGATATCTTTATTCCATCCATAGCAAGTAGCTTGTTGTATATTCATGCGTCTCCTCTCACCGTCCAATTTTAATTTATATGACAGGTTTTCTCTAAACTGAAAGAGAATAGGTTCCCTGGCGAACTCGAGCTGAAAGATCTAGTTGGCAGAAAGATTGCTAACCCAACGGTAGTTGATGGCCTTGGTGCATCTTCCTGGTCGTAGATGTGTAGATTACACTAGATCAATGGTTCCACATTAACTTAGACTTAATGTTGTGGCCTTTCCATATCGATAGACATACATGCAATGAAAACATCCACCAGCATCTGCTTCAGAAATCATTGTTTTGCTGCAAATGTTCTCAACCAGAAACATTCTAGGGACTGGTTATATGGTATCTATAAAAATGAGACTATAAGGTTTTTTCCTTCATCGAATCTTGACATTTGATATTTATGATGTACAAACACTTTCTCTCACAATGCAAACAGTATCTAGTAGCAGGTTGAAAGAATAATGATGCTTAATAGTGTCGTTAGACGCCCTGGATAATCCCTATTATCTTATCTTTGAAATGCATATGCAGATATGATCAACCTTTGATCACAGTAGTTAATGGTATATCAGTACAATTTACATGTCAGTTCCAAGTGAAAAGTGTGTTCTAGGTACTGCAGAGGATGTTTCATTGTTATATTTCTAAAGAATTTACGGGGCAGATGTTCGGGGCTGTCTGGTTTGGATATTCGATTTCAGATTGAAGAGATTATAATTCAAATTTAATTCAACTAAGCTTGGATTGGATTAGATTTTTCTTCAATTCATATAATAATTTGCTCTTTGGAATATATAAATTTCTACGATAGTACGATATCCATAAATATTAAAAAATAAAATCCAAAGTTTAATCTATAATTCAAAAGTTCAAACCAAATAACCAAAAAAATTGGATTTTAGATTTGCATCACTCAGAAAAACTCAAACATCGTATAAACGATGCACATTATAATTCTTAGTCGTCGTATTTTTTATATCTATTTTGAAAGGCTAAATACTCACTTCACAAACAATAAATATGCCATCTGTTACATAATTTTCCTTTGCAGACAAACAAAAGAGACTGAAAATGAAGAGCAAAAAATAATAAACCACCTAAGCTTTTCACAAATAATCTATGTTACACTCTCATCAGTTGCTTTAACCCAAAGTTTTGAAAAGCCATACCGATCTGTACAGTATATATGTCAAACACTGACACTTTCTTAGGTGTAAGAATGATGAATCTTCTGTTTCCCAGTAAAGGATGATGAAGAACCCAAGGCATATCATCATATCTGCCACCATTTTCGATTGCGATTTTCCATTACCTTGACAAGCTCATTTGCCAATGATGCAAAGTCTTCAGCCCCACTGCGTAGTTCTTCAGTTCTTTGGTTAATTCTCTGCAAAAACATATAGACTTATGCGTGTTATCGATTCACTGGAATAAGCAAAGGTTTGACACAAGAAAACTAGATTCAGTATAACGAGAAGTTGAGCATTTCTCAAAAGAGGAGCACAATGCAGAACTAGACAATCGCCAGCGACCAAGTTGCAGCACAAACAGAAGAATTTGTCATTTGATTCTGAATAATGCAGGCAGCCTTCCTATTCAATTTTCCGTCTGTCTACCTATCCCCACTTCCTCTAATCTTTAAATCTCGAGTGGTGTTAGCTTATTATACTCTCAACTCTTTTTGGTTACAAGCAAGAATTTATTTCATGTATTATCATGTTCAACTTTTCGTGTTACATGCACATCTTCACCATTTTAAACTCTAATTAACGTACCTCGAGTTTTTCTTGGCGTTCTAGAAGCTTGTCTCTTGCTTGTCCAGCCGCTGATGATGCATCCTGGACCTGGAAGATATAGATGATTGAATATAACAATAAGAACATTTATTAGATACAACTCAGAATGAGAAGTCATAAAACTAACAAATATGACTACCCCAGTTTTTCTATATTTTGCTATGATTTCTTCACGTGTCCTAAGTCTGGGTTTGGCATCATCACCCTCAGAATCAAGCAACTTTTCTCTTTCAGTTCCTGCAATATATACAGGGAAATATTTGTTATTATGGATTCTGAAAGTGCAGATGATCAATTGATGTAAGTTTACCTCTTTTGCTATTTTGTGTGTTGTGAGATGAAGTAGAAGCCACAGGAACAGGTTCATCAATTTCAATATCATCTGTGTCAAAAGTAAATCTTCAGTTAGGGGCACGTCAACTACGGAAATGCTGAATAAACCAATATATAGGGACAGAAAATAATGTCAGTCATGAAGAAGTAAGAACTTTAGATATGAAGGGATATTACCTATATTGAGCTCCAGTTCTTCTAGAACTTCCTTAGTTGGGGACGGTTCTGGGTGGAGTGGGTTCTTCATAAAAACACCTTCCAGATGACTAAAGTTTGACTGCGACATCTGACTGAAATCCATATTATGATTTGTCTTTCCCGCTTTAAATCCTTTAACTAGAGTACCTAAAATATTTGGGGGCCCACCCTGCAGCAACATTTATAAGAATCCAGCCACTACAAAACATAGACCACAAGGAAACATCTTTATCTACCAGACCTGTTTCTTCTTCTGAGTGGAGAATTTCATGGCAGCATCTGCTGCAGCTGCGAGCACTTCATCATGAAGAGACGGCAAAGATTCTGGAATTCTGGAAATTGTATTGTTGAATCAGTAATTTTGAACAATTTATGCTGCTCATGAGCAAGCTATTCATTTGATGGAAAAGTAGCACTAACTGATCATATACCTGAAATCATTTTCACTAGCTAATAGGGACACGAAAGCCAGTTCAGAACCATTTGCCTGATATTTGTTAGACAGAGATGTTCAGAGGACAGCCATGCAATAATAGGCCGAAATTTCAATAAGCAAACAAATTATGCTAAACGCGATAGGATAATAGCATGCACTGCAACTCTGATTACCAGAGTAATATGGCCATTCTCCATGGAACTCATTGCCCTGTCCATATTTGGCTTGAAATTCCACCTTAATACTGACATTAAAGAGGTCCGCTCCAGCAACTCTAGATCAGGCAAAGATCTGGAGATAGATAGATGTTTGCAATATTTTGACACTCAGTTCTTCCATAATATATTATCATGGACATGCAGCAAAGCAATCTTGCATAATTGACAGTACGGAATTGTATAACACACAGAAACTGTTACATTCAAGGTGCATTTAGTATGACTGAAAAGTTCTGGAAAATCTTACCTTGAAAAACTATTTGTAGGTCATTTTCCAACATTTGGCTGGGTATAAAGGTAATAATGTATGTCTCAAAGAACTTGTTTCTTAATCTCCATCTCCAGAAGATGGGAGATAGGGCATCAGAATAATATTTTGGCAATGGCGCAGTGTTAAGAACTTACAACAATGTTTGTGTTAGCTGAAGCAAGTGATATATTGTACAAATTATGATAATTGTAAGGAAAATAACTACAAATTGAGATACTTAATATGTAACAATGAACAATGTCCATGATGACACGAGCAAATTTTCTCCATTTGACGTAAACTGGTTTAGGATCGAAGTGTGATTGATGTGATTATTTTCTTGGAGAACATTCTTGACAATTTAAGGCAACCAAATACTGGAAAATATTCTAATTATGCCTTACTAAGGTCCTTACAAGTTTTAGAATGGTACTTGCCCAGAAAATTTAGGAAAGAAAAAGGTTACCGAATCTCGATATCTCCAGTCTGAAAGAGTAATAGTAGCGCACAAGCTTTCCCATCTTTGCCATCTTTCACAAAAGTAGTAGTCCAACAACAAGGTTTGTCGAGCTTCACTTTGCAAACAGATTTATTATCCCCCTAGTTTGAAAAATAAAATTGAATTATATTAGCACATTCAACAAAAATAGAAATGCAGACGTAATAAAGCAATATACTCACATGAACTACAGATTTAGTAGCATAAGTGCGTATTGAATCTTTACAGCAAAGTAGGATAAAGGACTCCTCGAAGTGTTTCCTGGAGGGGTCATTTTCTAGGAAGGGAACCGTGTCACTTAGATCATGAGTGGTCATTTCTTGTGAAGGCTCATTACTAGCTGCATCATCCTTGCTGGACTCTGGCTGCTTGCTAATTACATCAGAAAATGGGATGTTGTTTTCTGAAACGCAAGAAATCAACACAAAACTGAGTACAACTTACACGTCAAAAAACTTTGGATTTCTCTACAAATATGTACTTGCCTATGACATACATAGAAATTGCAGTCGACATTTTCTTTAAATGCAAGGGCCCTGAACCATACGTTTTACCATTACCACCATCAATTACATAGATCTTTGCATCCTCAGTTAAAATGAACATGAGTTCCTCCATACGGTTTTCTGGAAGTTCTGCTTGTTTTGGGCTTTTGCTATTACTGTCACCGTGCACAAATCTCTTTGCAATCAAAGTCACCAGTGGAGAGCTACCAACAGGTGCGGAGTCTGATAAGAACAATACTGATAATGAAGTCATATCAAGCACTGCAACCTGAAAGTGGAGGCATTAGAATAAGTATCCACATTAATCAACAATAAAATTGACATCATAAGTCCATCACAAAACTTGAAGAAAATGATAGTGTTATTGACCTTAGCATTTTCGTATCCAACTGCAAGTTTGGCTCCATGATTTACAAACTCAATTGCTCGGACTCGAACATCGAGAAGCTTTAGAACAGCTCTGCAAGTAGGTCCTTGACCTTGTGCCAACTCATGAACTAAGAAAAGGTATATACCAGTGAGCTCACAGATAATAGTTGATCTCCAATTATGCAAAGTAAATCAGGAATATTTCAACATGGAAATGATATATTATTTCCTCTTATCCCATTCTGTCAAACAATATTACTATTTGGAGTGTCAAACAACTTTTGACTATAAGGTTTGAAACAATCTTTAAGAGCTTTTTAAATTATAGGTTATAGTACTTCCTGTCTACCGGAAACATCCTCACTACCCCACAAAGGTGGGGGTTAAGGTCCGCGTGCACTTTATCCTCCCCAGACCCCACTTATGGGACTACACTAGGTATGTTGTTGTTGTATGTAACATTTTCATATATTTAAGGAATATATGTCTGGAATCAATGTGGAAACTAGATGGTTTGACCCTTATACTACATACCCCTATCACTCATTATAAGATGTAAGGGAAATATACTGGTAAAAGAAACATATTGCGCAATAGATTCAATCATTGGCCAAAAAGTAGCTTGCTATGACTGGACAGCTACCTGGATACAAAGAGGTGGTTAGAGGTGTGGTCATAATCAAGTTCATCTAAGAGAACAAAACCATTATCAGGGACAACCTTATTTGTCATTTGTGTCAAGCAGGTTGCGGCTGTTTAAGAATGTGTTCCGCTGTCTCAACTTGCTTTATTTATAGGGGTGAAAGTCCACCAGACCCACATATCCGGTAAAATCAACATTTGTTACCTAACTAATAATGAAGCCTATGCTACAATTCTACATAGGGAAAGTTTCCAA